TCATGGTTTCATATATTTCTTTATTATGTTTGTCGTAATATAATCAGGATCTATATCACTTTATCACTTACAGAGACAAACTGAAAGAAAAAATATGTGAAAAAACATGACAACGTGTTAATGGAACACTATTTCTGTTCATTTAATTCGAATCCCCTTTTGTTCTTCCATTGTAACTAATCCGTTCCGGAAGCTTAAGTCCGCTCTTTGACAAGTTTATGACGGACACATACCGTTATGTCTTTTGGCTCTAAAAACAAAATGTACTTCATGTTTTCTGATCTATTTTTAGGGTCATTTTTGGGACACTCTTACTAGTCTGTATGATGTTATGCCAGTTGCGAAAAAGTTAACTTACAGATTGAAGTGACAAGACAAGGCGGTTCGCAGTTAAGTTATCGTCGGTATATATATATTTTTTCTTCGTTCCTTTCCTGAAGAAGTGTTATGCGTTCTTAAATTTTCCGTTCGCTATCAAAGAAATTTAAAAATAGCTGTCCCCGATGCACGTTAAGATATTAAATCATTCTAGAATGACAACACAATATTGATTCTAAAATGTAATAGAAGACAGAGATGGTATAGCTGGAACTATTTCACGGCTTTTTTTTTTTCTTCTTTTCTTTCTTTTTTCTTCCGTCTATCTCTGAAGAGCAATCTACTTGGATTTTTGGACAAAGTTTCTTTGGCGGTTAATGAAGAGTAGTTTTTTTCTGGTAATGATGAATATGTCCTCTTCATCAAGTGTTAACTTGGTGAGAACATTTTGTCGGGCGATAAAAGAAAGAAGAAAAAAAATTGCTTTAACCTTTTTTTCCTTTCTTTGAAAATACTTACTATAAATATGTCTACTTTTTACCAGTTAAGCAGTAGTTAAGGTATATAGATTTTTTGCATGAATATAAACTTTTATTTCAAATAACAAATACTGAATGAACTTATTAAAAATTAGTACAAAATGGGGTGAAAAGAAATATTTAAGATTTTCAGTTAGGTTTAAAATTCTGAGTTAATTTAATATTAATTGCTTTACCGGAAGAACTTGTCTTGACCATAATATTTAATTCAAATACTTTTTTTATTATATTATTTTGAAGTTGTAATTATTTATTTAGAAACTTCAGGACACATTTGAATTTTTACAAATTTTACCTAAAAATAGATTTTTGTAACATACTTTGACCTTTAGTTTATGGAATAGTCTTAAATTCGGCAGTCGCAGAGCTTCCATCACATTACAATTGTTATTTAATATATGAAATGGGGAAAAAAAGACGATTTTTTTGTGGACAATTTTGTGTGCCAGAATATTTAAATATTTCTTTCATTAGAGTGCCAACTGATATTTCAAGATTGGGCACTCCGACACTGTCACTACAATAGTTAATATAACGACCGTCACTCCAATTGTGACGTAACTTTTTTCGACAGAATCTTATCAAATTAAACTGTTCACGGAGGGGAGGAACTGAGTTTAAAAAAAAATACACACACAAAACGGAAAAAGCATTAATTCTAAAAATCAGAGCACAATAGATGACATTAATGAGGGAAGTTCGAGAACAAAGAAGAATTCTTTGTTACGGGGGATAGGCGAAAAAAAAACCTAAAACATGGAATTGATTTGCATACCAACATGAACCTCACCCTGTTCGATATAATCATTCATTACATCACCCTTCGAAATGTATCCAGATTCTTTTTTGTTACATTATTCTAGCCGCGTATCTATAATCTATTACATTTCAAGAAAAGGGGAAGGAGCTTTCTGTATAGGGGAGTAATAGATTGAGGAACGCATTTAGAACAATTCAAAGGGGACGAGTCTTTTAATTTCATTAAGAGAAGAACAGGGGGTCCAAAGTAACTCTTTTAAAAGCCCCTAAAAGCCTGGTTTCAGCAAAATGAGGGGCAAATACGAATAGTACGTGTTAAGCATTAACTTTTACTCTTAGAAGAAAAGAATTCGATGAAAGAGCCTGGGCATTAGCTCACGGGAAGAGCTCGCATCGCTTGTTACAAGAGATATCAGTACTAGTGGAATTTCAGTGAAAATAGTAGAATTTATATTTAATAAATGTTAGCGTTGAAGAATTAATAAGATTTATAAGTTTTATCAGGCTCGTAAGTTTTCGAAAGAATTTTCGAATTTTTAATTTAAGTTTTACACACACATTCATCGACTAGGTCATAATTTTTTTTAGGTGTGCATGTTTAAAGCAAAAGTCAAAAAATAGCTTGAAAAAAAATCCTAACACTTCCTCAATGTATTTCAAAGCTTGGGACGTTATGTATTTAAATATGCAAAAATCTTAAAACCTATCAAAAAAGATTTTTAAAAAAAATTGATTATGAAACAAATTTATATATAAAATAAAAACGTTTTTCCCAGATTATATTTAGTGTATCACAGTTTACTACCCCTTAAAATTCAAGTGCACATAACTTAACCTTTTAACACAGTTGGGTCACCGGTGACTCTTTTATTATTTTTTTCCGAAGCTCTAATTACAAACAAAAATATATTTTGGTATTTTTTAATAATAAAAAAACAGTCTAATAGTTACTAAAAAATATATTAGATTATTGGAATTATATTTATGCTAAAACATAAAATCCGAAAAAAGTAATTTGAAAAAAAAATATTGTTCATTCATATTCAAATATCTATCAGTAATTGATTTTTTAAATTAAAGAAATTATGATAAATAACTGTTTATCTTAGATCTAATTTAACGCAAATTTGAAAAGTGATTGTTTGGAAGTGAGTCGTATGTAAAAGATTTTAGCTTCAACGTAGGAAAAAAAAACACCGGTGTTTCCTGCAATGTCATGCATAAATTACTAAAATACTAAATTTAATATTTTTCGCCTATCTTGACCTAAGTTAATATATATATAAAAAAAAAAGAAAAATATGTTTAATAAAAATTCCACACCAAAGGTTTAAACAATATGATTATTTGTCTGCTAAAACTTTAAAACAAAGAGAGAATGATAAATAAACTTACACCTATTACTAAATAAAAATTTTAACGAGATAATTTTTAATATGCTTAACAAAATCTATTTTTATTACAAGAACTGAAATTATACTCAATATAAATTCAGTTTTGTTATATTGTGCGGAAATTCAACAAAACATCTCATTTGTTGATGATAAACATAATACATTTGCCACTAGGTTGAGAGGAAATTCGAAATTCAAACATAGGCTTTCTTATTTTATTTTTAGAAATTACTTTTAATAAACTCTAAAAATAACCTAATAAACTCTATATATAACCTAATAATCTTTCATTTAAGAATAATGAATTTTCTATTTATTATAGTAGCCAGTCGATGCCTCTCAGAGAACAATTCAAAATTCTGTTCATCTCAACTGAGGGACTGATGATGATTAAAGTGAAATTTTCAAGGGGGCGGGGGTATTTCAGTCGCGAGGACTAAAAGGTATTAAAGAAGATTCGTTGTTTTGAGCTTAAGAGATACTGATGATATTGGCTAACTGGATTGCGTGGGGTCCCATTAAATTAATAGGAAATTAATCAGGGGGGTGCAAGATATTTGGGATACGACAGGAGGGTTGGTTTCACTGTAGTGTTTGAAGTCCTTCAACTAAATTTTTACTGACTTCAAGCGACTACAATGATTAATAGCCATCGCATGACAAGGGAAAGTTTTGGAAACAGAGAAGCTTTGTTCTGGATTAAGAACCGCATGAGCCACTAGAAGCTGATTGTAGTGGGTAGCCAGCACTGATGAGAAAGTAATTAAAATGCACTCAGAATCTCCCAAATTTTAATCTAAAAGTGGGGAAGTAAATATATTATCCAAAGTGTATCTTTGTGAAATTAAAAATATTTGAGCCTGGTGGTATAGAAAGATTGCCTAAAATATAAAAAAAGTGTTTTTCTTTTTGTCCCTGCTCTTAGAGCTGAAGAACCACGGAATCAGTAATTTAAATAAAAAGAATTCTGTAAAAAATAAAAAAATGCAGTATTTTGAAAACGTCAGATAACCAAATGTGTTGCTTTTTGAGGAGAAAATTTTGGGTAACCGAAAATAAACAAACCAGCGTATTTTTTTCGTTCTTCTAGGAGCTGAAAAACCACGGAATCAGTAATTTAAATAAAAAGAATTCTGTAAATAATAAAAAATCTTTGTATTTCGGAAACGTCAGATAACCAAATGTGTTGCTTTTTGTCGAGACAATTTTGGGTTGCCGAAAATAAACAAACCAGCGTTTTTTTTTTTTTTTTTTTTTTTTTTTTTTTTTTTTTTTTTTTTTTTTTTGTTCTTCTAGGAGCTGAAAAACTACGGAATCAGTAATTTAAATAAAAAGAATTCTGTAAATAATAAAAAAATCTTTGTATTTCGAAACTTCAGATAACCAAATGTGTTGCTTTTTGTCGAGACAATTTTGGGTTGGCGAAAATAAGCAAACCAGCGTATTTTTTTTTTCCCCCGTTCTTCTAGGAGTCGAAAAACCACGGAATCAGTAATTTAAATAAAAAGAATTCGGTAAATAACAGAAATCTATGTATAAATTTGGTTAATAGTCCAGAAACATCAGATGACTAAAGAAATTTATGTCGCTTTCTTTTGTATTACCTATTTTTGCTTATTTTTGAATCTAGCGTGATTGAATAAACTTTATTTTAAAGTCCTACAGGAACCAAATGTTTGGCACTTGGCGGTACTTTTAAATACTATGTTTCAGTTTATTATGAAGGTCCAATCTAAAATATTGATTATGTTACGGTTTTCCAAATTTTTCTACATAAATTTTTTTATTGACATCTCATGTAGACATCTTTTGCAAAAAAAAAAAAANAAAAAAAAAAAAAAAAAAAAAAAAAAGTATTTTTTAAACAGGTAAGGAAAATGAAAATTATTGATGTTTTTATTGGCGTTAAAAAGGTCTGCAACAGAATTCGGTTATCTGATATTTCCAATGTTAACATGATTCGCATTTTTTTAAAATATGGAGCACTTACCACCACCTCTTCTGGAACCATTTCCTTTCGCTAAAAGGATCAACGTTAGAATATAAATAATCCTATAAGCCCAATGCATGATCATCTGCAATAAAAAAGTAAGAGAAATTAAAAACAAAGAAAAGCAATATGTCACAAAAGCAATGATAGACAATCTAAAAATCATACAGAAACCAGGCAGCATTTTATAAACATAATATTCATTGAATAAAACGTAATTAAAAAATGCCAGATTAAAAAATGCACGTCTATGAGTCTTAAAAAATGCAAATTAAAAAAACGTCTAGGAAATTCAATCTCAACTTTTTGCTGTTTCTGATGACAGTTGGAAAAGTCAAGGTCTCCAACTATTAGTCTTTAGCGAATTAAATCAGGAAGGTGCGCCTTTCATTTAACAAGAGAGCACCGCGAAAGCAAGTCAAAGTACGTTTTAGTTCAGAAACCCAAGATAGATGACAGCATCACAACTTCCTGAGGCCGCTCCCTCATATAAATTTAGAGGGGAAGGAAATTTCCACCAAATCCTTGTACAAATGACACCACGCAGCGTCAGATTACAGAACTTTCGATTTCACAGATATTACGAACACACGAAGTCCGCGAGTCTTTGCGGAGACGAAGATCGAACTCTTTCTCCACCGAACAAGAAGCTGATTCTCTAACCAATAGGCTATCACGGCACATATCTAAACTAGATGACAAAAGTGAATATTGATGAAAAAAATTTCGTCCACTAAGTCTCGTACCACTAAGTCATAAGCTTACTGAAATATATTACGCAGTTTTTGAAAGGAATTTGTATTATCTTTAAAAAAAAAGTCCAAATGAATTGAACGTAAAACAAAGGCATTGCAATAAAACTGTAAGGAATTTCAGCTCAAATATGGATACTACCTTTACCAAGATCATTAAAACAATGGGGAAAAAATTCTTTTGTTCTAAGTGTGCCGTAAAACTTTAAAATTTGTTTAATGGCAGGAATAAATTTTCGCCTTATCACCTATGTTAGAAAGGGGAGGGGGTGGGAGTGTATGTTTTAATGAAGTATCACTTTGCTGTCCAAGAATTTATCATAATCTACTTAAACTTCAATCTGACAAGAAAGAAAAAGTATTTTTTTTCCTTCGAAAAACAAAAGAAGGGACAAAAAAGAAACAATAAACAAGTGCTGAAAAGACAACGGAGATGATATACAGCAGCTATATATCTTTTTATTTTTTTATTTTCATACTTCCCCTTGAACAAAAATCCCTACCCCCTTCAACTTGGCAAGTTTTGGAAAGTTTATTAAATTTCACTTTCAACTTGCTGACAGCGGAGTAAAAAAGCAAAATTCATTAGATCTTTTTTTTTTAATGTTTTCAAGTCCTTTATTGTTTCTTTCGATTTATAAATTTATATATAAAAAAAAGTAATGAGAATATGGCAGCAAAAAACTAAGATCTTAAAAAGAAAGCATTATTTTCTTATCGTTTATGTATTTTTGAAGTTTCCTTTTTTTTTTAAACATATTTTCTATTCAATTTTTTCATTTCAAAAATCGCTATTCGTGCTTTTTCCTTTCAAAAACTGAAATGATCGCGCAGTAAGAAATGATTAATACATGAATATTAATAGAAAAAAAGTTTTTTTTTTTAAAAAAAAAAGAAAAGAAAGAAAAAGTGAATGTGCTTGGAGCTTTTAAGCTAATTGAAAAAGCCTATATCGACTGAAGTCTGGCGACTTAAACGGGCATTTTTAAAAAAAGAAGCATTTACCAAATTTATTTACAGAAAATTAATTATAATAAGTAATTTTTTTTAAACGTAAGACGCTTTTTCGAAACAGTTTATTTTATTAGATACGAATATCAATAACACATCAAATTAAGTGTTTAATAATTATATACCGACATTTTACACAAATATTTATAAAAGCAACCTTTGTTTATGAAAAATGCAATGTTTTCTAATGACGTACTTTATAAAAAGTGTGAAATTCAAATTGTAATGAAAAGTAATCGAGAAATTTATAATTACATCAATTATAAAATTAGATTTAAAAATCTGCTCCAAATCAATTCATGTATAAAATTTATACAAGTTCTACATAATAATAATATTAAATTAATTCTGATCGAAATCAATGCTCATTTTCTTGTACTAATACATAAAATAAAAGAAAGTTTTACACATGTTGCAAACTTAATTTGGAGAAAACTTATAATAATTTTCTTTTACATCGACTACATCGGAAAAAGGAAGTTAACTTTTTTGTCTGATTACTTGGCTACTTTGCGGTGTATTTTATGCAGTGAAAGAAAACATTTTCTAATCTCTTAGGGTTCGTAAAGACCTTGATACAAACAACACACAGGCAATATATATCTATTTTTTTTTTCAAAGAATAAGCGAGGCGAAATAAAAAAAACTGAACCAATACCAAAAAGAGGAAATTTCTAACGTCAATATTTGGTATTCTTTGCGTTGACTGGGCCAATGGGGAGTTTCTAGCCCACTTTCGATAATACGAGAAATTGGCTAAAAAAGTAAAAGAAAAAAAAAATTTTGTTGTTCCTTTTTACTTCAGATATTTTTGCAACTTTTTCTACTTACTGCCGCGTAAAAAAAAAAAAAAAAAAATTCTCTCTTTTTCTATTTGCAATGGGAGAAAACAGCCCGATTAGTTTGAAATTTTTCTTTTCCCTTTATTTTGGAAGTCTTCCATTTTAACATGAGGGGAAAAAAATATCCCTTTTCTAATCTCAAGAGAAGCAGAAAAAAGTAATTAAAGATATCGTAAGACTTTGAAAGAGCATTCAGTATTCAAAGATTGAAATCACTAGTCCATAAAATTCTTGTGCAAATTATAAAAAGGGGAAAAAAAACGTATCTGTAAAGTCAGATTAGATTCATAAGCAGTGTTTAATGTATTTACAGAAAATATTTTACAAAGCCCACAACAATTGAACTTTTAATTAATAACCGTCAACGGCTAAACAGCTACTTATTATCATGATATTTTTTTTTTTTTTTTACATTTTTGAAATAAAATGAAATATTACCAAAAGGCACGCTTATATATTTCTGAACTGAGAATAAGTTCTCATTTCTCATGCAGATCAGATAAAGATTAAATTCACATTTTCTACTTTAATTAGTATTAAAACTTAGCAAATTTTTCAGAAAACAGATGTAAATTAATTTAAACGAAATTAATTTTAAGAAGTTTTATCTTATAATATATTTCATTAAAAAAAAATGAAAAAAAAAGTTATAATATTAAGATATGTTATATTAGATCTTTAGTTTATAATATTTAAATAGCGTCCTTAAAATATTTTTTTTAAAAATTTGAAATAAGATTAATTTGAAAACGTATGTTGTGCTGTAATAAAAGAACATTTGAATTTCGTTCTTCTTAAATCACTTTCCGATTATTAATCAAAATCTTTGTCGATAATAGAAACATAAATCATTCGAATATTTTTATGAAAATAATTTTACAGCAATAGTAATAAGTTGTGCAAAATGTCACGATTTACATTTCCGCTATAAAAAGAAAACAAAAGGAAATTATTTATAAATTAGGATCAGCTTAGAAATCAATAGAGAAATTATTTTAGAAAAAAAAAATTATCAAGGAATGAAATCAAAATTTATTTAAAACACATCATTTACGATAATTCAGCTTTATTTAGCATTTAATTATGAAGTCAAATATTTATATGCTATCTCGACTCTTAACTGAGCCCCCATCACTACAATCGCGCCCTCTTTCCCAAACTTTTGACACTAATGACATGCATAGTGGGTTCCACCCTAAAGCTTGACACTAGTAATTAGAGTTCGAGCGATCTTACATATTTATAATTTTTTTTCTTTTCCCTTCTGCCTTCTGAATTCTTTTCCTTGGAGTTAAAAAGACTTTTGGCTCACGGGTCTTGATATTATCATCGTCCGGTACATTGGTGGAAGTTACTTGCTTTTGGGAAGGCATAAACTATCGTCTCCAATTTATATGCAGATTATCTTGTTCCTCTATTCAAAGTGGAATATATTTTGATAAAAAGTAAATTACGTTAAACGAGAAAAAAGGGTGGAAATGATATGGGTTTCAGCTGCAGTCCTTTCAGGTATATTCTTTTTCCTTAAGAATTTCGGTATGCATGAATACAAAATGAATGCAATGTGTTTAAAGAATATAAGTAGTACCCTTTCTCTAGGAGTAGTTATGTTTGTTTAGTATTTGCGAACAAAAAGGATCGATTTTAAAAACAGGAATTAATATTAACTAGTGTGTAATAATTCTAATTATGATACCAAATTAACTAAACAAAACACAATATCCAAAAAATTAATCCCCTCCTTTAAAAATATCCTACATATGCTATTTTTTTTATGTTAAGAGAAATTAATTCCCTTTCTGCATTTGTCGCAACTAAGTGTATTATTTCTGATAGTTTGCACAACATAATATAGAGTATATTGTATATACAATATATAGAGAATATTGTATATACAATATATAGAGAATATTGTATATACAATATATAGAGTATATTGTATAATGTTTCATAAACTTGAAAATGGAAGAAAAAAAATCTAAAAAAATAATAATTAAGGAGCTAGTTCATATTTGCTTCAAAGCATTCTGTTTTTCACTTTTAACGCTTTTGAGCAGAATTTTTATTAAACATATTTTTCATACTTTTTTCATTATTCTGTATTAATTTAGGAATAAGTTAAAAATATTATATTTAGCATTTTAATGATTTATGGTTATTAAATACAGCATAACACACTGGTACTTTTTTCTTTTTTTTTTTGCTTTAAAGGTAAAATCATCCACACACAGTTCAATTTCAAACATTAATTTTTCAAATTCGAGATCTAAGAGAAACAGTTATTCATCATAGATATTTATTTAATTTGCAAAACCAATTATTGATAAATTTTTGAATATGAATGGTAAAAAGATTTTTTAATTTTATATTTTAGTACAAATGCGATTCCAATTATCTAACATATTTTCATTAGTAACTAGTAGGGAAGTTTTTATAATTAAAAAAAATGCGAATATATATTTTTGCTTGTAATAAAAGAG